ACGTGCACCTCGGCTCCCACTCCTCAACACTCGGTCTAGATATACTATGTCTATGACCAAAACACAGCTTTTACTGCTTTGCTGTTCAACAGGATGAACTTCAAACAGCAAAAACTTGCGCCGGAAGTACGTCACCGATTCTAGTTACTTTCTAAACTGCTGCTGCTTTTCACTGCTCATGAAATGTTACCTTAAGAATGGAAACTCGATAAAGTTCAGCTACAAAGAACAAACCTTTCAGACCCGCGGAAAAGAAAGAACAAGGATGGAACAATATTCGTACGTTCGATAAATTCGACTCGAATACATTTCACGGGTTTCCACTTTTTTTATCATGGATTTCGAATCATTGACTACATGTTTTTTTTTATAAGAGAGAATTTATATAGATATTTTTCCTCAAAATAAAAATATACTTTTTTTCATTTATATCTATGTTAGACATTACGATGCTTTTATTAAACTAATATGTATATGTCAGTAATGAAAAAATACATGGATATACATTATAAATTGCCTCTCTCTCACACACATTGCGCTATATTTATAATTATATACATTTTATTGTACAAATTTAAAAAAAGTTATATAAAAATGTTTTGTTTAACATGCTTAATTATTTTTATATTTGTCTAAGTAATAATTCATTAGCAATATATTGCGATAATTATTTTAAAGTGATTTGGTCAACAAAAATAAAAGAATTGTAAAAATCTAAGATACATAAGGATAAATTAAAAACATTGAATTAAATAATGATGTAATGATGTGAAAAAATATTATTAATTAATTAATAATTAAATAATATGAATAATAAATTTGATTAGAATATAAGACTTTAATATTATTATCTATTTCTATTATGCAAAATTAGTGATAAGATATAAAGGTAATTGTAAAGAACTTTATTTATATGCTTTTAATTACATAATTAAACACACAGATCAGAAAAATGCAAAGATATCAGATATTTAAAAAGATTCTTTGAATGCGCGTTTAATACAAATTTTGTTTTAGGTAAAAAATCGCTATTATAATGTAATTGTTAAATATTTTTCAACGGAAATACTTAGATCTCTAAGGAGATCTATATCTCCTACATCCATAATATAATAACAATGTCTGAACTGTTATATATCATCTATAAACAATTGTTTTTTTATCTCTGTTTCTTACATAGAATATACATCAAATGTAAAAAATAATATCTTCTTTTTCGCTTATGTGTGTTCTATTTTAATATCTAATTGATGAGACTTCTTCTATAATTTGCTTAAATAAAATTTATACACATGTTAAACAAAACTTATAAACTTAGATTGTGTAGAACTCATTGGTTTGCCGTTATTCAGTCTTTGTCAGGTATATTAAATAGTATTCATTACAAAATACATTCTCAAATAATGACATGCCTTACTTATTAGATTGTTCAATCGCATATTTAGATATTTTAGAATATAAATTTAATAACCTAGTTTGATTAAATAATTTAATAACGAGTAAAAAAAGGAGTGAATTTTTACTCTTATATTTATATTAAACTTAAGAGAAAACAATAAAAAACGGACCTTACTATTGTAAAAGTAAATATATAAAAAGCACATTGCAATAATTATGTAATTAAGGCCTCGAAGGAAAAATTTCTAATAAGCTTGGTGTGCTACGCTAAAGTATTTACATTTACTACAGACATGTAGAAATATATATATATATATATGTATAAAATAATTGGGATTAGCGCCCTGTGCCAATAGCCTCAATGAAGTTTCTAAATTGCTTGTACGAACACTACTATGTAACTGTCTACTGAGTTCTTCTTCGGTACAACATTCTTCCTTGCTTGGTCGTAATATAAATGCCAGGAGTTGATGCTTTGCCTTAATGAAATCTGCTTTTACAGGACTAAAAGCAAGTAATATAACAAGTAAGAAATATAATCTTATATAAAAAAATATATAGAGAATGCTTGATATTTAAAAGTATTTCCAGTATTCAGAATCAGTTCTATTTAGAAGAATCATAATAACTAATCTCCATTTCTAATCTGATTTAATCTGATCTTTAGAAACATCAAAGTATCGATGAAAGGATTCTGTTCTCTCTGCACACATAATAAGATTTATTGTATAAATCACTAACTGTAAAGGATCCTTAGCCTGGGGTTTTCTTCTACTAATTTTTAAGCTGCTAGGATCTAGCAGAGAATGTTCCCAAATACTATTAGCTCCATTGTCATTCAAAGTATGCACCATCTGGAAAATTTATATGTAGTTATTTCAAATATTGCAATATGATATGTACGAATTATAAAAATTCTAAAAGAGCTTTCCTTCAATTGCTTTTCAGCAATTGTGTACTAACATTCAATAAATTTGTATTCCAAACACTCTTGTGCAGCGACTTAATATGTGACACATGACGGCCTAGACTACGATGAATTCCGCAACACTCGTCACATAACAAAATAGCTCTATTTATCGACGCCCATCCTGGCTCTAAAACAACAATTATTTTCAATCCTATGACTTTCTTTTAAATAAATAATTAATAAATAATATTCTAACTAAAATACTGTATTAAGAAATGTATATGTTTATATTTTCGATTACGTTATATAAAAATTAAAACACAAGTTTGACATAATGATAAGTGTCATGTGTCTTATACCCTAAAAAAAAAAACTCGGATATCCCAAACTGTTGAAGGGGCGGGACTAAATAGGGATCGCCAAGAAAAACGAATACAAATTTAAAAAAAGTTATATAAAAATGTTTTGTTTAACATGCTTAATTATTTTTATATTTGTCTAAGTAATAATTCATTAGCAATATATTGCGATAATTATTTTAAAGTGATTTGGTCAACAAAAATAAAAGAATTGTAAAAATCTAAGATACATAAGGATAAATTAAAAACATTGAATTAAATAATGATGTAATGATGTGAAAAAATATTATTAATTAATTAATAATTAAATAATATGAATAATAAATTTGATTAGAATATAAGACTTTAATATTATTATCTATTTCTATTATGCAAAATTAGTGATAAGATATAAAGGTAATTGTAAAGAACTTTATTTATATGCTTTTAATTACATAATTAAACACACAGATCAGAAAAATGCAAAGATATCAGATATTTAAAAAGATTCTTTGAATGCGCGTTTAATACAAATTTTGTTTTAGGTAAAAAATCGCTATTATAATGTAATTGTTAAATATTTTTCAACGGAAATACTTAGATCTCTAAGGAGATCTATATCTCCTACATCCATAATATAATAACAATGTCTGAACTGTTATATATCATCTATAAACAATTGTTTTTTTATCTCTGTTTCTTACATAGAATATACATCAAATGTAAAAAATAATATCTTCTTTTTCGCTTATGTGTGTTCTATTTTAATATCTAATTGATGAGACTTCTTCTATAATTTGCTTAAATAAAATTTATACACATGTTAAACAAAACTTATAAACTTAGATTGTGTAGAACTCATTGGTTTGCCGTTATTCAGTCTTTGTCAGGTATATTAAATAGTATTCATTACAAAATACATTCTCAAATAATGACATGCCTTACTTATTAGATTGTTCAATCGCATATTTAGATATTTTAGAATATAAATTTAATAACCTAGTTTGATTAAATAATTTAATAACGAGTAAAAAAAGGAGTGAATTTTTACTCTTATATTTATATTAAACTTAAGAGAAAACAATAAAAAACGGACCTTACTATTGTAAAAGTAAATATATAAAAAGCACATTGCAATAATTATGTAATTAAGGCCTCGAAGGAAAAATTTCTAATAAGCTTGGTGTGCTACGCTAAAGTATTTACATTTACTACAGACATGTAGAAATATATATATATATATATGTATGTATAGAGTTCCAATATTTCTTCTGTTAAGAAAAACTATGTTTGAAACTGTGTAACAAGTAGCTTGGTTGCTTTGGCAATATCGTAAGCGCATGAACGTACTTGCTGCAGGCAACGATCCATGTGTTCGGCATCACTGGTGCATCTTTGAAGACCGGAGCACTCCGCTTGAAGTCTCCCAGTGTTGCCATTTAGCTGACGTAAGGCAGATTTGATATTTTCCTCCAGTGGATTCTATTGGTACAATAAAAATTACTTCTTTCTAATTTAGCAAATGTAAGAAAACGAACGAACGCTCGAAAAAAGAATGAATAATTTTACTTGAGGAAATATAGCAGTTAGTTCGGCAACAGCAACGCGTATCCTCTCGGCGCAAGGGACAAAAGCTTCTCGTTGGCTCGGATCTTGCATAGCCATCCACAACTCTTGAATTCGCCTGGTGACTTGTTCCGTTCGTCGGGTCACCTCTTCACTGGGTGGCAGATTAGGCGCGCCATATTCCCACAGACTCTGCGTGTTATTCCGCGATAAGACCTCTGTATCGCGTTTCGTCTAGGTTGAAATAATACAAACAAATAATGCAAACAAATAATACAAACAAATAATACAAACAAACAAATAATACAAACAAATAATAAACTATATATTTCATTAACATAATTATTTCAAAAATTGTTAATTACTTGACAAATAGTTGTTGACCACGAGGCTGGTTTCCGTAAGCCCTCTCTTGTCTCGTACATAGATGCCGGTCGTTGATTTCCACGTATAATGGACGTTTTGATATCGTGCAAATAAGTGATCGCCAAGAAAAACGATGTTGCTCACCGAGTGTCCCACAGTCTGCGCATACATCCGCGCTCGCTTTGTGCTTCGGACGCGCCATAGCTTTGTCTTCTTTTGATTAATGACACTTATTTGCGCATATTATATCGGCATGACATAGTCAACAATCGACGACAATTGACGCGGTCGACGATGATTTGTATCGGGTGTAAAAACACAAATTGAATTGTGTCATCCTGCTCTTATTGCGAAGCACATCCGAGAAAACGAAAAAAAAAATTCAGACACGCGATCGAGACGCCCGATAGCATTTCATAAATGCGAGAAACATAGTTTATCGATTGTTTATCCATAATACAAACAAACAAATAATACAAACAAATAATAAACTATATATTTCATTAACATAATTATTTCAGAAATTGTTAATTACTTGACAAATAGTCGTTGACCACGAGGCTGGTTTCCGTAAACCCTCTCTTGTCTCGTACATAGATGCCGGTCGTTGATTTCCACGTATAATGGACGTTTTGATATCGTGCACTGGCTCTAGGTCGCATTTCATAAATGCGAGAAACATAGTTTATCGATTGTTTATCCACGACTGTTGGTAAATTTTGCCTTTTCGAGAATAATCATTTATTTTATCAATCATCGGTAATATCACAACATTGTATCCACCGGAAATAAGTTGGCGCTGGAAGTTCATATTTTTTAATAATTTATAGCTCAAACGATTGCTCCTTAATTGCTCCGTCAGAATCTAAAATAAAAAAATTAATGTTTTTTAATTCGATAGTATTACTTTGAAATGCGTTGTTAGCAAGCATATGTCTTCGACCCGCCTCAACCAGTAAATCTGCTATAAGTGTAGTGAATTCTTTTGGTGTGAATCTTGCTAATTTCTGTCTTCCTTGATTCCTGGTAGACGACAATTGTGGATTAACTGGCAGAAATGGAACAGCACACTTCTCTGGGAGAGATGCAGTTGAAAACCAAACTATATATAAAATATTAGATATTAATCTGTTTTCCTATATATTGTTATTATTATTATTCATTTTTTAATAAATGTTTTTATTACACTCATAATTACGGATTAGAATCGCATTGCTAAGCTGAAAAAGTTTTTACTCACCCTTCCATAGGAATAGCATGACAAAAATATATATATATCATTCAAATAATTTAAATTACATTTAAATTATAATCAGTATATTTCTACTTTTTATGTATAAAGCATGTAAAGAATATAAAAATAACACACACTAGCTT